ATAGCATATGGCGGCATATAGGCAAGCGCATATAAGCATAAGCAACTGTGGTGGCACGGCTTGCCTTCTTCAGGGAAGGAGAATCCTGCAGCAGCGGAAGTAGTCACCGAATTAATCTGCTTGGCTACATACTCCACACACTATTAACAGGGAAGAATTGAAAGGAAACCGCGGTCTCCAGCGTATCAGCATTCTAAGGTAAATATATTATTCCATATTTCGATATCTAACCTTTACTAACTAAGTTTCTTCTATTTTAGTTTACGTAACAGTGCGCCCACCACCATGTATTAAAGGAAAATCATGCGGAAAACCAAACTATGTAGAGGTAATTGAATTGTTTTATAAAATTAACTTACAAATTACTTACTTTTTGTTTTCTATTTCATTGCAGATTAAGCAACAAGCATACGCGACCGCTCACCGCTTCATCATAATGAAAATGAGTTGCAATATTCCTAAGGTAAGTTTGTATTTATCCTTACTTATTGTTATTTATAACTTATTCACTTATTTTCATTTAATTTTAGATTAAAAAACAACTATACATCCCGCTCAGCGCCCCCTCAAAGGAGATTGTTTCCTCGTTCTAAGGTAATTATAATATATAGTAAGGTATATTTATAAATTACTTACTTTTTTCCTCCTTTTTTAGATTAGAACAATACAGATAGATTCTCCGCTCATCGCCTCATATAGATGAAGATTCGCTATATGCCAAAACTAAGATTGAATTTCCCCCTTCTTATTATTGTGCATAAATTATCCATTTGCTATAATTTCATTTCAGATTGAAAAAAACGCCTGCACTATCCCTTCAGTGGAATGCGATTCTTCCATAGGCCAAATGTGTAAGTTTGTGATCATCTTTATATATAATATTTAGCAATTACATTCATTTACCTTGAGCAGATATCAGCACACCGCACAACGCACCGCCCACTGTCAAGCAACATAATGCCATATATTTATTTATTTATCTTATCTTATGTATGTCTGTCTATATTATACTCATTGATATTATAAATTTATATTATATTATTAAGCGGGGCTTATTATTATAGTTTGAATTAAGTTTATAATGGTGTAGGCCTACAGGGGAGCCAGCCATTCAAAACAATAGGCAACGCACCTACCACGGTACCTCAATGGTGGTGCGGAAAACCGGACATTAATCATCTTAGGAGACATCTGGATCTGTAATACTGTACAATGATCAGTTTAGACTTTATAGACATTTAATCATCTATAAAATGCCCGCAAATCACAAATAGTGGGGCAATGGATGAATCTAAATAGACGCCAGGATGCACAGCGAACATGCGATGACCTCGATATAATGATAAACTATCAGAAACTGCCAGCGATATTTTATACAAAAGCCTACAGGAAAAGATCTGCTAAAAATCTAAACTCTTATAGCCAACATACGACTTAGGCCTCAAGGCCGATGAAGAAATATTAAAATTTTTGCCAATAATTAATTCTAAGTAATGAGGATTATTATTCATTAATAATAAGTTAAAAGGAGTGTTCCGTCAAACCACTTTTCCGTAAGAAGTTAATGAAATAAAACTGCGCTCTGACGAAACCGGTCATTAATTTTTAAGCAGTTTCATAGAACTAAATACCTTATATATATATATATATATATATATATATATATGAGAAGAGAGGGTATTCTGATAAAATGCAGGTTTATTGAAAACATACTTGTTACCAAGGTCAATAATCAAAATATTCGCCGTCACTATCCATGGTGTTTTCCTAGTTATCATATAACTTACGGATCTTGTCATCTTAGAAGCTTGGCGATTTCAAGCCGAAATTGTCATCGAGTTATTTTCGCATACCTTTAAGTTTACGGAACCGCCGATCTGCTAAATGACTGCATCGTTTTGATCATATGCTAATCAGAAGGAGACAGGTGTGGAAAATACACCGCCATCCGGAGGTGACAGGCGCTAATCAGAAGCAAATGGGTCTAGAGAATATACCGCGACTGGGAGGTGTTTCCATCCCAAGTCGAAAATCGCTTTCGTTGCAGAACTTATCCGAATTTTCTTTGCTTTCAAAACTACAATCTTCCAATCAAATCACGCAAATCACTTTCCAATTGTTCCGTAGCTTACTGCATTTTTATTCCAAGCCACCTTCATCCTTTTCCTAGCTTCAGGTGTATTTCTTCCAGTTCAATCGAGTCTAGAAAAGAAGAAAATGCGGTGGCATAAAAGACATCCATCTATTTACACATTGAACGACTGCTTGTAAATAACTGGAACTTGTACCGTACCGACATCAATGTCGAAGTTACATATTATTAACTAAATCTGAACTTTCGGAAAAAATTAACGCGTCGGGGGCATTTTATGAAACAACCAACTTCAATTCACAGAATTTATATGTACCCCTAACAGTTTCACTACATCTGGTGAAACGATCGAGTCATTAGAAAAGAAGATCAACGATTTATATCGATCTGTTTGGGAATCTCAATGCGGAATCCAAATTACATTACATGGAGAACCTTAAAGTAAAAATCAAACTTAGAAGAAAAAAAACGAAAACTAACGTCATTGACCTTTGTACACATCAATATCACTTTTTTCGTACGTAAATTCCAATTATTTTTTATTAAAATTGATAAACATACGTGTAAACAAATTGATGATGCAGAACATGTTTAATGAAATTTTGCCATTTATAGCGTTGTTGTCAGACTTTTCCTCCGTTTAAGACAAATATTTTTATATCCTCCTGCTAGTCCAAACTACTTTACCAAGGGATTCACACAAAAGCACTCTGTTAGGCGAGAGCGCAAGTTGATGTTTATATGTATTCGAAAATTATATCCAAATTTTTCATATGTCCGGGCTGCGTTTTTATTTTAATTATTTTTTTTTTTTTTTTTTTTTAAAATTATTTTAAAAAAATATTTTATATTTAATTATTAGTGAATATTTAATATAGTTTTATATATTTTTTTTTTCATTTTCCTTTCTTATTTTCATTTTTCCTTTAAAAATTTTATGTTTTTTCGTTTTTTTTTTTCTTTTGTTTCTATTAAGATTAAATAAAATCAAGTTAAAATACCTATGACTGAAGTTCTTTTTCTTTCTATTTGTATATATGAAAAGTAAATATTATGTGCAAGTAAGTGTGTTTATTTGTGTGTTATGATTTTCTTTTTTGTTTTCCTCTTAATTTTAAATTTCATGCCTTTTTTACTTTCGTACAAATAAAGGGGTATCTGCTATACCATTAAATTCTTAGACGAATTGAATTGAATTTTAATTGAAAATAGTTGCTTACCAAATCGAATTGAAAATGAACTTGTTATCGATCGATAACAAAATAACCCACAAGACCCTTACCCTTAAAAAACGAGAGGATATTTCTGTACATTCGTAGTGAATCGAAGTGATTCAAGTTTGCTAACTCATCGGTAGCTCCCGATCAAGTGAAAACTAATACCTCACCTCATTCCTCGAAATGGATAAAAAATCTAAATGCAACGTATTTTAAATTAACTTTTAAGAGAAGCTTTCTAAGGACCATAATACATATACATATGAAAATTGAATTTCGTTACGCTCTTCACTTCGATATATGCGGAACTTACGAGGTGAACATATAAATCAAAGACCTTACATAAAACATAAAAATGCCATAAATAAAAAAGGTCAAGAAAAAAAGAGGTTTTAAAAATCTTTAAGTTCTGCACGTTTGTTACTAGTACATCGCAATAGCCAAGACCGGATATTGATTCGAAATTTAGTGCAAATAATTATTAGAGCCGCCTAAAAAGCCGCAAAAAAAGTTTAGCGAATAAATGGGAATATAGGAAGCACAAATGTTATAGTAGGTCAGCACACGCCATTAAATACCCTTCACCTAAGACGTTATTAAGGAGCTGGTCGAAAAAGTGATTCGATCCCAACCAATACTGTTCAATAGTGCTTGTCGAATTATGAAAATACATGGACAGACATTAGACGGGCAAACATATAAACTTAGATCGGATTAGAAAGCGATGCTACCGAGTAGATTAGTATTATAAAAAGTGGGTCTATCTGAAGTCCCTCTAGATTTTTACATTGGGTTATTATGTCGGTGATGACCCAAATTTTACTCTTAAAAATTAGGCGGCCAGTCTTATGTGTGCGTCGTGTGTAATTACATCCATAAAATTTGTTTGCTTAGTTATGGAAAGATCTTGCCGTTTCATAAAGAGAATGAAGTTTTGTAGGAGCATCATCTCCAAAGTAATCTATTATCGGACCTGTTTTGGCTTTAATAAGACGT